AATGCTGGATAAATTTGTTTTTGAATGAATGTAAACTTTACAATTTACATTTTTGTCTAAAGGCTTTCCTTTGTTTTCTTTTCTTTCCTTTTTTTTTTACTTTTTTACTCACGGATTTGAAAGTAAAAGTGGAAACCCTCTATAGCAGTTGGCGTTTTGTATGTTGAGATCGTTATCAATTTTTTTTTCGTTCCTTTATAATTCTATAGTCTTTGAATGACTTCATCAAAATAAATTCAACCCAATAATATAGAAGTTTTATTCTACATTATGAAACAATTTTAATACAATGCACTTTGAATTATTGTAATTATTGTAATTATGAATAGAATTTACAGATTTTAAAAGCTATGATACTATACAATAAATTCACTTAGTGGAGGAGTGGGGGTAGTTGAATTTTTGAATTTCAGCAAAAAATTAATATTAACAGTGGCAACTTTCAAGGTACAAATACATGTGCATGTGTATTTTTTGAAAGTACATCAATATTTACATCTATATATTCATTGACTGACATTTATTAAAAAAAATTCCAAAACTAGAGAACCAGGTAAATTCTAAGATATTTAACACTATTGAGAACTATCTAAACGTGTACTCTCTCTTTTTTGTAGTTTATTTTTTGCTATGAGTAGAAAATGCCTACTTTGTGAATATTTGGTTTACAGGTTCAATATATAGTCAGCCTCTTATAAGAAAATATCCAAAGATCCAAGGCTTGCTTCAAAGTTAAAGTAACTACACACTGTTTAATAGACTTTATTATATTCTTCCCTACAAAGTCTGGGATATCCTGTAATCAAAATGTCTGTTTTTCTGACTGTCTACTTGTCTGTAGTTTTTTTGTCCAAAAGTTATATATTTGTGCCTGAATCTCCTTAATTTTGGAAATTTGAATTAATATATACTATTTGAACATACCAAATTCAACTGTCAAAATAAAAAAAAAATATTGCTTTTTATGATTTTAATGTGAAGCACGTTTTTCCATAATGTAATTGTCTTGCAAAATTCAATCCAATTGGCAAAATAAAAAAAATTGCTTTTTATAATTTTATTATGAAGCATATCTTCCAACAGTTGTTGTCTTGCAAATTACATGATAGGATTCCGCAAAACACCTAGTATAACATATATAACCTTTGTTTAATCTCGTATCATATCTGTGTCGGTGAATTGGGAATACATCTGTTTGCTGATGATAAGTTACTTTAATATAACATGAAGAATTGATTTTGTAATTTAAGAATTATTTTATTTTCATTTTTGAAATTTTTGTAGAGACCATTCTGTGCAACGAAGAAATTGTTCAGGAAGTGGAGAACTTGTGGATTTGCATTTTTTGGTTCAGTTCAAAGAGATTTTCAAAATGATCAGATCAGAGGTAGGACAACTGAAAATATTGAAAGATACAGAAAGAAAAAGAACACAGAAATATATGTAATAATTATGAAATGAGGAGGATGTACACAATCTTGTCGGAATTTGACCTGTAAAGATTTTCCATTCTTATTTGTATGCTGGAATATCAAATAACTTGATTTTTCATAAATTTACATTACAGAATACACGATAAATGTCATTTTGATATTTAAAATTTTCTGTGGACACGTTCATGTTTTTTGTACAAGTACATGATCTAATTATGTTATTCATTTGTCCATGTATACATGTTTACATATGAAACTACTTAATCATTTTGCTGAAATCTTATAATTTGTACTCATTTTAGAATATGTTAAATACATGTATCGACAAATGCTATTGACTTGATTGTATATTTTCTTGTTTATAATGTACATTTTATCAAAAACGTTCTGTAAGCATTATAAGATATTTTAAAATATTTAACGAAGGAAGATAGATCATTGTAATGTAATGCATTTTCATCTAAAGCAGAAATATCTTATTTTTAGAGAACACACATAATTTTTCATATGATTTACATATGATACACTTTTCATAGAATTCTCATACGTAAATGGCAAATGGCTTGACACACACATAAACCATTCAAGTGCAAATCATATGAAGTTATTTTTCACATGATTTACATATGTGGATCTTATGTAAATAATATGATTTGCTTCATTTGAATTAATGATGCCCACTTTATGATTTTCATATGAAACCAATCATATGAGATTCACATGATACTAATATGTTGATCATATGTGGCTAAGTTGCCTGTGTACCGTGAATGTTTTTCAACAATTGATATAGGAACGATTTTTGCATCCTTTCCAGAAGAGGATGTACATTTATAAATCCTATAATACTGCAAATATTTCCCAAAATCCTGCAAATAATATTTATTTCCATGCAAGAATGAGCATTATCAAAGAAACTATAATCATTGGTTTAGCAATGAAAGATCAAATGTACATTTTAATCCATGGAAATAAAACCAAGATCTCAATGAAAAAAATTAGAAATCAGCAAACATCAAACACAAAATAAAATTTCGCCCTGTGATCTTTCTCTGCATCCGTTATTTGCATTATCATGGAAGAAAAGGTATGTTTTTAAACATCTGGTTGTCCTTATTGTCAAGCATAATTATTTGTATGACAAAATATCATTGATGTGGAATTTTATTTTCGATTACTTTCTTTTTTTTTTTTTAGATATGACCAATCCATAAAATTCATAAAGTTTAACACCTAAAAATCGAAATCACTCTATCTGAACCACAATTCGTAAAGAAAAAAGAGCAGTACAATAACCCGTACTGGAAGCTCCATGAGACGAGAATATTGGGCTAATGTCATTGTCCGATCACGAGTGTAAGTCGCTGATATCATAGTCTCGACGTCAATAATACAAAGCAAAATCAGGTCAGTTGTATCGTAGTGGTAGGGAAATGAAAGGTACTTCAAACTCCTGCCTAATTAGCATCAAGTTCATATTTTTAAATCCCATATTCTTTCTCTATCTTTGAACAAATCAGAGCAAATCGAGCGGGTCGTTGGTCTGCAACTTGCGCTCTGAGTGTTGATGTAAATGTCAACATGGTCGTGGTCAAGGATGAATCATTCCGAAGTGCACTCGAACTTAACGGCTAACGTACTTTGTTGACTAATGCAACATTCAATTGGTTTTTATTAGTTCACATATTGATAGTCTTGACATTAAGATTGAACTTCATAAACAGTAGTATCGATTACGTTTCTTTGTGGCATGAAGTTTTTCTACTCTCTACATGAATAACGGTTTGTATAGAGGCCTCAAAGAGAAATAATTCAAACAATTTTATAAATTCGTATTTGGAATTAAAAGAATTTAGCGTACTTTTCTTTGCACTTTCATTCAGTTTGTGAGTAAAAAAAATGAGTTTACTTATCGATAAATTCTTAAAGAAGAACGTTTGTAAAACTTGTTACAGACCTTTTTCTGTTTAACTTTAAGACATTTTAAAAAAGGTGTTTTATTATTGATAAATTGTAGAGGTAAAATATAAGAAAAAGGAACATTTATATTGTATCCATATATATATATATATATATATATATATATATATATATATATATATATATATATATATATATATATATATATATATATATATATATATATTATTTTTATATATTTTTATTTCCAATACTGCATGGCGTTTGGATAATAGTTTAGAAAGGCTAGATAAAGTAATGCTATTTGAATTTATTAAGTAGTCATTTCACTGAAAAAAAACATAATCTAAAAAAACGTAATCCATAGCACAAGATGTATGCGATAACAACTAGACGTGTCTGGAAAATTATTATGAGTTGAACCAGAAAAATACCTTTTAATTCCATTTAAAAGCAGAATAGTATTCGTAAAAGGTATTCTCCGCTATTTTCTTTTGAACTCTCGCTATATCAGAAGGCTCTAAAAATAGAACTTCTCACTTAGGCACTGTCAGTTTAAATTTGTTTATCAATTGTAACAATTGTAACAAATGTATCCTATACTTTACTCGGTAGCGACAACAGATTACTGGGTATTTCTTTAAATGCAGGAGAGTCAGATATAGAATAAATTTACAACAGTTGCATAGGTTCGTGTAGGTTAAACAAACATACACACAAACATGTAGCTGAAATGAAATTTAAAAAAAAAGATAATGCAAGAGAACCGACATGAACAGGGGTCACCACCCTACGTCGATGCCTGTGACAATAAAGTAATGAGGTCTAAAGAAATTACAGAGTTTACCCCGGTACAAATATTGTAGTAAGTAAGTCCTGTTCAGCATTAAGTATTTATATTTAATTACAAAACCTCATTAAGGATCAAAAAGAAAAGTAGCACATGCACCACGTGTAACAAAGTAATACAATATATGACATTTATAATAATAATAATGATTGTTTTCATATAGCACTTTTCTAGCATAAATGCTACTCAACGTGCTTTACAATACATTTTTACACCAGCAGACCTTAACAATCCAGAATCTTTCTCAGTGAAGCCGCCGTTATCAGCGCTAGAACACTAACATTCTGACAATATCTTTCACTGTCTATAGCGAGGTACCCTTTTAACACTTGGATGGAGTGAGGAAATTCGTGTAAAGTGCCTTTCCCAAGGACACAACGTCAGCTAGTCGTGGCCAGGATTCGAACTCACAACCTTTCGGTTTGGAGTCCGGCACCTTTATTTACAACTGAACTACCGACGCCATTTTATTGAAAAGAAAAAAAAAATGAAATATTTCTTTACAACAAATCGTTATTCAAAATATAACAATATATCAAACATTCAAATAAATTATAATACAACTAAAGGCTAAGGTCATCAGTTCTCGTCAACTGAAATAATAAGCATAAATGGAAATGTATTAAGTATTGACTCATACTATCAGTGAATTTGTATTTGTATAAATATGAAGACTACATTTAAGATATAATCATTAGATATCCTTCTTGTATGAACATAAAAACAAAAGAAGAAATATCTAATTAAAGAATATGTCTTTTTTATCTCATATAAAAAGAAGATTTTTTTATAGACCATTAACAATTCTATTTATTTCAAGTGAGTTGGAGATGCGAAGATTTTTTTCTTCCCTTCTCTGTGTCTTTTATAAGCAGTCAACTCCCTCATCAAGTTCAGCATTTCTTTCTGATTGGCAAGAATTTGAGAGAAAACATTTTGTTTGCATTGATCTCCGGTATATTCAGGTTCACATAAACCAGAACAGGAACCGGTCACGTGATGGCAGGGTCTATGATCTTTACAGTAACCACATTGTTCTTGACATTCTGAGCCATACCAGCCGTTGGTGCACTCTATATAAACAAAAAAATAGGATATATACAGTATATACAAAATGACAAGTATATGTCGCAAAAACAAGGTTTCATGGATATCAACGTTATACATTTCAATTTTTTTTCCAACGGGATACCTGGAAAATTCAAGGCATTACGTTTTTTTTTTTCATATGTCCTGACGACATATACTGAAAGGATCAAGAAACGCCTGGAAAAATTTGCGGTGATTTAAATTTATTTTTCTTTTTATTCTTTTTAGAAGTCCTATCTTATTTTTAAAATTATTTTTTAAGAACAATTATTTTCTTTAGAAAAATGTAACTAAAGTCCTAATTGATCTTGTATTAGAATTCATGAGTTATTGAAACTCATATGACGATAGCCCCAAAAATGTGAAAAATCTGACACTCTCATTATCCTCAATATCTCTCCTGCGCAGCTGTCACATCCCTTTGTTCTCCTTTGCGTGTATCCATCAGAGTGTTCATCTTTCAAACTCTGTCTTTATTGGGCATGGGTAACCACGAGGAAAAAATAGTCAAAGGACGCACGCATGCGCCGGTAAGAGGAACACGAACGAAAAGTTGACCGGTTCAAAAACCAAAATGCGCAATTAATTTCTCTCAGTTTTAAGGTGACTGCAATGTTTCTGTATTCATAGCGGTTTTTTGATAATAAGGTTGCCATTAATTAATGGCAAGACGAATAACCCTATCGTAACATGACTCTTGCGTTTACGTCATTGTCAAGCTTGGCTGGAAATTGTTCCAGGCCCCATCTGACACTGAGTAACAGGTTCTGTAGTGGAAATTATACAACAAACTGCATAGAAACACGTTGTTGCCTTTGTCCTTACTTTGGCAATTCGAAAACCAGACACCTTGCAACTTTAGTCAACTGTACCAAGATTGCAAGAAATTCATTTCGTGTGTAAATATTGTAAATACTGAAAAAAACAATATGCATCAAATGGTACAACTAGATTATTGAGAATCTCGTCGATATCAATTTGCACGTTTTTGGGTCTTTTTAGTGTTTTTCCTACATGACATCATACATTTAACGGTTGGGTAATTCTAAAGATTGATTTTGTGCGCAGTAACTAACACTTTCATCTGACTAGTTTTCGTAATTTTTGATCATGTGTTCAAAAAATTTGAATATTATGCTATCCTTCGTTTCTTTTCCCCTTCAGTATATATTAGAATAGACCCTAAGAGACTGACACACTTTCTACATTTCATTAATTTTAAGAGAAAAAAACTCGTGTTCTATGTATTCATACGATAATTTCCTTGTCAGCCCTATTTTCAGTTGCCTAGGCAGATTCGGTAACATGACGACAATCACGTGATTCCCTGCAATTGAGACTGCACTCCAGTGCACACATCACCAAATTATCAAACCCGCATGCTTTGAAATCCATGATAGAAAAATAGAACAATTTCAAAAACTTATTACTGAGTGCAGGTGTAATTGAACTTATGTTCCATATAATGTTATACATGTATGCTTCTGGATATGAAATGTGCAGAAAATACGTTTTTTCTTAAATAGTTAAATACAGTATAAATCAGAATACCTGTACCTTCATCACATTTATCCCCATTATATCCAGGTTCACATGTACCCTGACATGAGCCGTTGATATGGTGACATTGATTCCCGTTCTTGCAGTGACCACAACTCGCATTACATCCTTCTCCATAGAAGTTATTTAAACACTCTGATGATTAATATATTTTTTATTAAGTCAATACTGAAATAATTCCCGTGTAGTTGTAAAATTACTAATGAAAATAATAGAACGATATAATTAAAGTTAAATAAGAAAAAAAAGTTTATCACGCGTTATTTGTACGATAAAGATTAATCTATATTATATAACCTGGAATGCCTACGTTACTATATATGACTTACGTACGCGTCAAATACGTATCAATTCCCTAACCACATTTAAGATATTTTGCAGAATTGTCCTTCATTTCATTTCAACGTTGTAAAAGCACCAATCAACACTATTTTTATTTGATTTAAATTGAATACCCCTATTCATGACGTTTATATAAAACTAGAGTCGTCGGATAGGATTATGCAGCGTATGTATACATTGTACGAAGTGTTAATACTGATACTGCTCTTAAATTATGATGCATTATATTTGAAGTGTAGACATTAAATCAATTATGTCTATGCATGAATATTACTGTATACTATTGGGAGTGGGCATCCTAAAGAAAAAAAGCGTTTGTTGCTGAACATGTGAAAAGAAAAAAAAACAAAATTCATATTATCAATTATCATGAATCATGCGTTACTTCCGGCTAAGTCGTGTCATTTATTTTTTTTTTTTCAAGTTTTATTCTAATAGTGTGAGTAATTTGAGTTTTAAATCTTTTTTATTTAATCATGGTATAATATTTGCAGAATTTTCGTACAGGCCTGGGGGCCAAAACACTTAGACGAGCTCACTTTTGATCTCAGTCTCAATTTTCCACTATGAAATCCTTAGGGAAAAGTGAGACTTATTTCAAAAGTGAGGTCGTCTTAGTTTTATGGCCTCGAGGCCAGGTGTGCAATTGCCAGCTCTTTTTTAATAAAAGAAATTTTCTACAAGCGTTTTGGACATTCTTCATAAAAACACATCCTTCTCATAACCATTGTAGATATGTTACAATAGCCAAAATTCAAGCCTATTTAACATTCAGTGTGAAAGATGTTCTGAAAGAAAAATGTCTTCATATAATGCCTTCACCTTTGTGACAGAAATCTCCTTGCCAGCCAGGGTAACAACCATTCTCACATATTCCAGTTTTTCTGTTACATCCTCTACATGCATCTCTGCACTTTTTGAAACAATTTTCTCCAAAGTATCCATCATTGCATGCTTGTTATAAGAAAGAATTATTAAGAAAGGTAACCATATTGCAGATATAAATGAAAAGTGACATTTTTTTTATAAGCAACCCTTTCCAATCTATCTTTCAGCTTACTTTTATTGCAAAACTTTCCGTCATATCCCTCGGCACATCCATTCAAACACGTTCCATTTATTGGATAACAATCTTTCTTCTGTTTACAATGTCCACACGTCAGGCTACAACCCTCACCATGGAATCCACTATCACACTCTGAAATTGTTCAAGACAAAGTTTTAATCTCTAGTTGTTACATGTATTCATCTAGTTAATCACTGTAATTGTAATGGTTTACTGTAGTAGTATTTTTGGTATAATGTTATCAATTTAGTTTACATATGAAAAATGGTCTGTGAAACGAAGTTGACCCTTATTCTTCTGTATATCTACATGTTATGCAAGATTTTTATCAAGAAACTTGTTTTTGGATTTTTGATTAAAAACTTTGATTTTATCATAAAATTTATTCAATCATGGATTTACTTTTTTAATTAGATTTTGAATTAAAAAACGATTGCATATATAAAATAAAAAAATTATCTAAAAAAATACAGATGACACCGAGTAGATTCCAGACAATTGCAAAAAAATGTACAGATTATCCGATGGAAACTTTATCACAATCTGAAATGATTAGATAATGAATAAAACTGGCAGAATCTCAGGGGTAGTTTACCCTTTTTTACAAGATCGTTTCAAACGGAGAAGCAACGATCATTAAATACACTTAATTTATGCCATACAGAAATGGCTCAAAAAATGACCAGGCACGCGCTGGCCTGAAATAAGATCCCTCACTGCTCAAAAGCCCCGGGGTCTTTGGTAGTTTCTTCTTTTATTATATTAAGGTGTTTTTTTTAGGATTTATTAATACTCTCTTCAATGTTAAAAAACAATTGCGTATCTTAGCAGTTTTGAAAAATAAAACAGGTAAACAAGTATACATGCATACTTTTTTTTCCGTCTGAGAGGATATAGAAATACATGTCTTTGAAAAGATTTTAAAGATAATGCATTTAAAACCTCATCTGTAAATTGTTTTCTTTAAAAACTATGTAACACAATAATATCTTTTTATACCACAGCGCTGATTCTTTATGGGGGATAAATCTAAGTAGCTAGATAAACTTCGGTGGGTGCCAAACAATAAAAAGTATGAAATTTTACAAAGTGCAAAGTATAAGGTATATTCTTAGAAAAATGGCCCCTTTCATCCAGGGTAACAATTATTTTCACACACCCCATCTGTTCTATTAAATGTTTTACATGTATCATTACAAAGATAATCATAATTTTATCCAAAGGGTCCATTGATACAAACTGTAAAATACCAAAGTTATATTAACTTTTTATCTAGGTCGTAATAAATTGAGAATAGAAAAATTAGTTGTTAAACAATTTAAAAAAGTTACATGTAGAACAATGATAAAATGTATATTACGAACAAATCTTATCATGTTTTTAAATAACCTAAGACTTGCCTTGTTCACATTGAGAACCTTTGAAGCCAGGTTTACAATGTCTGCAACTCCCTGAATCTATGTGACAGAAATCAATGCAATTTCTTGGACATGTCTTTGAACAGTCCCGGCCATAGCGTCTTGGTGAAGAGCAACCTTAAATGTTATAATCACACAGAAATTGTATTTATAATATGTTGACGGTGCGACCGTTAGAGCGAGCGCCAACTCTTCTACTGTTTTGATTTAGATCGGGCTCGTCAAACCGCACGTGACATTTGGTGCGTCTTGACTCTGACGTCACATGACGTATGTAAGTCGCAATATACCGAGAAAAAGCTTGAACAGTGCTGAAAGTTAATGAAGAACGTTTTGTTTTCTATTTTTCTTCAATATATATCCATTAAATCAAGGCGAGTAAACTTTTTGTTGAACATTTGCCGTGATTCTCGCGAGAACGTAGCTAAAACAAGTGATGCATTGTGGGTCGAAATTACGGCATCAAAACATTCTATCGAATGAATGTGCAGTAGTCCGAATTTTCACTTCGCACAGGCGTTGCTTTAAGAGCTCGCTATGCGAGCGGCGCTTCGCGCCGCCTCGCTGCGCTCGCTATTATTTAATTATTGTTTTGGCA